CACACACACACACACACACACACACACACACACACACCCCCCCAAACTGTATGAGAGAAACCTCTAATTCACCTTAAATGTGGAGCTGCAGGATGGGAAGCGAGAGGGCATCAGAGCAGAGAGTCTCCATTAAAGAAACATTATGTCACATCAGGACAAAACAATTACAGACTGCTAGATCACAAACACACTCTGCACACACACTACATCACACACACTTCATCACACACTAGATCACACACACACTACATCACACACACTGGATCACACACACTAAATCCCACACATCACGACACACACACTAGATCACAAACACTATCACACACACTAAATCACACACACTAAGTCACACACTGTATCACACACACTGGATCACACACTACATCACAACACTAGATCACACACTCTGTGACTTTAAGTGGTGCATTTAAATTGAAAGCTGTATTTTCAATGAAATCCACAATTATGACCATTTATTTACAATTTATTAAAAAATCAGTAGTAAATATTTATTTTTATTGCATTTTAATAAATGTTTTATATGTAATTGTTGATTTAAAAGTCTATTTTTTAATCCTCTTTTAGTGATTTCTATAATCTTCTCCATGCTGAACGGGAGAATTTTTTTTTGATTTGTTTTACATTTTCTGTTAAAAGTCTACTAACATGTCAACATTGCACATCTTGACACTAAACCAGTGTTCTTGTTTATTACATTTCTTTGTGAAAGTTATACTTTGCACTGTATAAATAACGTGTTACAAGCTTAGTACCTGCATTGCAAATGTTATTTCAGACGCCGTCTCCCATTAACTTTATTTGCAAAGGTTTTCCTTTAAATTATGTTTATTCTAATACAACCATAGGCATCATTTTCACTGGGGACACTTGGGACATGTCCCCACATATTTTTTGAAATGGCCGATTTTGTCCCCAATATTACGTCTGCTTAAATAAATAATAATACTTCTGTCATCACAGAGAAAACCTTAAAAAAAGATTGAACAGCGAGACTATGTATGTTTGTATTTCCACGGTATATTTTTTACTTTTTTAATGCTATTTTATTTCAATTTGAGACGTTTACATTTTTTCTATCTTAGTCTTTTAATTTCTCCAATGTACAATGCCTTGTCTTTTTATGCTTCTGCAACGCAAACATTTCCCAAATCGGGATCAATAAAGTACTTATTATCTTATCTTATATCGTACTACGCACTGGTTCTGCCACTGCAGTACCGATTGTGACCGTTCGGGGACGCTGTGGGTACACTCGGCTCTACGAGGCGCTCCGGTAAAAGCCGAGTGAACCGGAAACAGTTCTTAACGGCCCAACAGCATGTAGCCGAACAGTTGATTTCATCCAAACAATTCGTGTTTTAACTTAAGCTATTTTAACTCTTTCTTTAACATTTCACACTTTTTTATACGCTGAGAGAGAAGCCACTGTTCACCGAAGATGGGAGTCCCGGCGTTTTTCCGTTGGCTTAGCCGAAAATATGCTTCAATCGTTGTGCATTGTGTTGAGGAGAAGGTAAGGGATAGCATGTTAGCATTTTAGCATCTGCTCGGGTACATGTCGCATTCACGTTGGCGGGAACATTTTAACTATTTTTACCGTTTATAAATGCATTTTATTCTTATCACAAGCTGATGTGTATTTTTTTACTATTAATGCTGCGTTGAAAGTTCATTTTTGTTGTGTTTTTAATGTTTGTGTTCGTCACCGACGCCTCAGAGACCCGGATGTTTGTGGTTTCATTCGTGAGATTGTAAACAAAACTGCGTGGTTATTTATTCGTTTGTTCCACTCCATGGCAATTATTATAAAACTGTATTAGCCCATGATGGATAGGAGCAAGGAGAAGAAGATCTTATTCTCATCTCTGGAGTACCAACAAAAAACCTCCACATTATAACATTATTATTGTTTTAAATGAATGGAAATTAGTCTTACGTTTCATCCTCTCTAGTCGACAGGGAGATTGTCCGCCATTTTCTGTTTTGAATATATATAGATATATCTATTCTATATATATCATAACCATTATAAAACACTATATATATATTCTCAGTAGAGAGAAGACCTATATTCAGATGAGGAACTAGGCATTATACAATATACAGAATTTATAGAATCCTTGTTTATACTTTTTTTCCACCTTTTTTAAAGGTTTGAATCCCTGTACACCCCATTTGGGATCAATACAGTGTCTGTCTGTCTAATATACCAATCTACTGGACATATAAACATAGTGTACTATATACATTAAAATATGTGTACAGCAGCTTGAAATTAAGAGTACAATTCAGCAGTTTCTTCTTCTGTCATATTACCCTGTGACTTTAAATCAATCTAGCGTTGTAATAGCCCATCAGAAAAGTAGGACACACCACTTTAATTGGGATTTTAGTGCTATAAAAAAAGTCTCTTAATGAAAGATCTGCAGTTTTTTGGGGGGAAATTCTCATAGCTTTTCAGCAGCTTCCATGTCATGTGACCCAATGACTTCAGCTTTCAAACTTAGCTCACCTTAACCACCTCTACTTTTAGCTGAAATACAATGCAACATCTTATACTCAAAGTATTGAAATGTAGCGAAACATTGTACTTGTCCCGTGAGCGTCTGTTGTCTAGCTTTTGTGTTTTCTTCACGAAAGCTTAATTGTGCTCGTTGTCTTCACAGGGGAAAGAATGTAATGGCGTCTGCATTCCTGTTGATACAACAAAGCCTAACCCCAACGAGGTGGAATTTGACAATTTGTACTTGGACATGAACGGGATCATTCACCCCTGCACACATCCAGAGGACAAGTATGAAACACTTAATACATTATCTGTTTTAATGTACCAATAACTTTTAGCAAGTTGACTTGAAACCTAGCGCTCGTCTCTGTTTCAGTAACTTAACTGCTGTGTAATAATATCTAGAGTGAACAAAAATATAAATGCAACACTTTTGTTTTTGCTCCCATTTTTCATGAGATGAACTCAAAGATCTAAAAGATTTTCTACATACACAAAATAACCATTTCTCTCAAATATTGTTCACAAATCTGAAAAAATCTGTGATAGTGAGCACTTCTCCTTTGCCGAGATAATCCATCCCACCTCACAGGTGTGGCATATCAAGATGCTGATTAGACAGCATGATTATTGCACAGGTGTGCCTTAGGCTGGCCACAATAAAAGGCCACTCTGAAACGTGCAGTTTTGTTTTATTTGGATAAAAAGTTATACATTTGAGTGTTTTCCAATGGGGGATTGGGTCCTATTTATTGAATCTTTTCAGTTATTATACAACACAAGTCTGTTTTCCTTTATGCATATAGGGAGTCTTAAAATTGTATGTTTTTAATTAGGTATATAATAAATCTAGGGGTTAAAACTGAGCCCCTTATTCACATTCTGCCCTCTGCTGTCCACAGAGCTGCCCCGAAAAATGAAGACGAGATGATGGTCGCCATTTTTGAGTACATCGACCGCCTGTTCAATATCGTGCGGCCCAGGAGAGTTCTCTACATGGCCATCGATGGAGTGGTAAGTTACCTTCAGTGTTTAAAAACCTGCATCCACAGAAAAATGTGGCTAAAATAAGTAAACATCTGCCAGAGAATCCACCATGTATTAGTTATAAACAGTGCAATGTGAGAGAATACTGAAGCAGTGAACACTAATCCAGACAGACTAACAGCATATTGATAATAATAATACATGTTATTTATATAGCGTGTTTCCTGGTGCTCAAAGCGCTTTGCAAGCAGGTAAAGAAGAAACATAACAACCTCTTTAATGTCATCTGGGTTAATAAAAGCTGATGTGTCTAATCCTTTGTTTTACACCACCAGGCTCCGCGTGCCAAGATGAACCAGCAGCGCTCTCGCCGTTTCCGAGCCTCCAAAGAAGGAGCAGAGCTGGTGGAGGAGAAGACTCGCATCCGAGAGGAGGTCATCGGGAAAGGTGTGTGTTTGAATACCTGCAGATACAAAGAGTGGATGATGGCTAAATAGGGCGGTTTTGGCTCAGTGGTTAGAGCGTTGGTCATCAGATCAAGGGGTGTTGGTGAACTCCAGTTCGAATCCCGCCTCGGCCGCCACTGCGTCAGGCCGTTGTGTCCTTGGTCAAGACACTTTACCCGCATTTGCTCCTGTGGGTATTGTCCACAGTAATGACTCTTACATGTCTAATATGTGTAATGAGCACCTGTAAAAGCGCTCTAATATAAAAAATGTAATGCATTATTATTATTAAATAGCTCTGATGAAACTGAACACTGCAAGACATTTTGATCTGAGCTCAAGGACCGGAAATACTGATTGTTAACAACAAATGAAAAGGAAATATAGTTTGTGTTGATTTAAGAGAAGATCCAGACTTTTAAAACACAGCAGGTGTACTACCTGTTATCTTTGGATGTTAACATTTAATCTGTTGTTTGACATCACTCAACACTGACCAGCGAGTTCAAAAACCACGAGACGATTCAATCAAACAACTCTGGATATGTTAATGAATCCTCCATACAGTTCAGTCAAATTATTCTATGCTTCTCTGGGTTTTTGTACGTTTATCCTACTTCTCCAATACCACTTCATGCTCTTTGTAAACTAACTTGCTTTATTTCCTCTACAGGAGGTTATCTTCCACCTGACGAGATTAAAGAGAGATTTGACAGCAACTGCATCACTCCAGTAAGTGGCTTCTTGTTATAGACTCTCTAACTAAGTACATTCTCTCTTTTTGTGATGCCAAATTGGGGGGAAAACTCATCGAGGACCACGACGTGCATTATTTTCCAAGTCTTGTAAATATATTCTTTGTATTTGTATCATCAGAATAACAGATTTGATCTTGTTTTGTCTGCAGGGAACAGAGTTCATGGATAACTTGGCTCAGTGTCTCAGATACTACGTCGCAGAGAGAATCAGCAATGATCCGGGCTGGAAGAACGTCACGGTAACTTCACTGCTCTGACTTTGAATACAGACTAAACACTTCGGAGCATAATGCTGGTCACTGTGATGACGTGTGATGTTGTGTTACATACTAACACGTATTTGAAGTGTAGTTGGTCGCCAAAAACAAGACATGACACACAATGTTAAATAATAGTTTCACTGATATTTTTTTCATCAAACGTTCTATAGATATGGCAATAATACTGTCATGGTAGAATCATGCAATACAACTTCATGCTTTTTGATATCATTACATTCGTTGCATTTATTATAACCATGGACGCGGGAAGGGGGGGTGCTGAGGGGGCTGCAGCACCCCCATCTGCGAGGCTCCACCGCACCCCAAACGCGGCTCACCTACAGTGTAAGCGCGCCACAACAGTGTCTCCGCTGCGAGGCTCCACTAGCACCCCCCCCAACTCTGACTGACTTCCCGCGTCCCTGATTATAACCGTATATATTTTATACCCCATTAATTCAACAGATAACACAAATGTAAAAGTGTTTTGAACACGAAACCTTGGAAAAAAATAGTATGAAATCAAGATTAGAATAAATGTGCCTTTTGAACTTTGTTTGTTTCAATATCTTGGAAGTTCATGTAATGCGCTGGTTGTTGATGTGAAAGGTGTTCATGTATATAACCTTTATTCACTTTTTATTTATCCAGGTGATTCTGTCAGATGCCAGTGTTCCCGGTGAAGGTGAACACAAGATCATGGACTACATCCGGAGACAGAGAGGTACAGTACGAAGGAGAGCAGAAACAAAACATCCCACCGTCTACAACATACAAAACAAAACCACACAGTTTAGATTTACAACGGCATGAACAGTGCTTCAAACTTTCATAACATAAACGTAATTACACTCGAGAATATTGAGCATTAATTCTTACATTTCTCACATGTTAAGACTTTGATCTGAGACTAAAACAAATACTTTACGAATACAAGCTGACACACATTATATTGACTCTTGTTTGTGATTCTGTTTTGCAGCTCAACCCAACCACGACCCAAACACACACCACTGCCTGTGTGGAGCTGACGGTAAGACTTTAAATTAAGTCTAAAATGTAATGTAGATAAAGATTTGTTGCCGTAAAATACAATTCAAGTTGTGGAGCTGATGNGGGGTTACTGCGGAGCGCAAGAAGCAGACCCTTCACAAAATAGCGGAGCGAACAGGTAAAGGAGGGATTGTTGTCCCCTAGTTAATCCATGGCGTTGCCGTCGTGCTCGCGGACGGATACAAAAATATGTAAACCTAAATGGGTCGCAAAATATACTTTGGTGGAGGTTAATATACCTGGGCGGTCCGCCCAAGTGAAGTCTATGTGTGGGAAACCCTGACATTATTTGATCACTTGTTGCATTTCTATATATATATATATATATATTCAAAGATACAAATCATTTTAATAAAATCATTCATTACTTTTTTTATGCAGTCAAGAAAGTCTTTGTACAGCAAACTATAGTTGAGAAGATGGTCATTGGGCAGAATTTTCACATCGTAATAACAGTTTTTATTCGTTTATAGTATTGATCCTATTTAAGCACCCGGCTATACAACTAAAATCCTTTCTATAACTATTCCTTTAACCTAATGCTCCTTTGTCACCTGCACATAACCATTAATATGTTAAACAAAACACAAGTCATGCTTTATCGAATGTCCTTTCGGTAAACATTTTGATAATCCATTCAGTAAGAACATTTTGGACTTTGCACATTAAGAACATTTCCTAGGGCAGGCTATCGATCAGGCAGTAATACACTTGGTCACTCTTACACTGGTTTCATTGGCTCTTCGATTGATTTAACAACAACATCTGAATCCCTTCAGATAAATGGTGGAGGTTCATTCTAAGTGTGACTTGCTGGGGGTTTAGCCAGACCCAAGGTCAGGGAAAACGATACGAGTGCAGCACACCATCAATCAAAACGGTGTGCTGTTTGATTGGACCTATCGGAGTGTCCTGCTTCTACTGCCCTAACCTCTGTACAGTGCCGCAGCCGTGCCATTACACTGACTCATGTGTGATCTGAAGCGTGGTGCCTTATCTTCCAGGATCCATGTTTCATTGACCACCGAGACGTGGAGTCAGTGGTGCAAGTGTCTGGGGGTCTGTTTGTCTTCATCAACTGTAGTATGTGTCTTTTGCTCATTTGCAAGCTGTGTGCTCCGTCCATGCTTCCTCGGTATAATCAATATGGTCAAATGCTTTTTATTGTAAAGAACTGTTGCATGTTGCAGATTCAAAGTGCTCTTCTACCCCTATGTACTGATCCATTGAGTTGTCTAACCGTTTTTGGTAATCTTTAACAATGCTTGTGAATATAAATAGTTTCCTTTTTTTAACAAGATTCTGTTCTTCATCCACAAGCATTGTGAACATTTCTTACATATTAGTATTCAGTTCTTTCCTCCTTTTGTTGTTTTCTTATAATGTAAATTCAACACATCTGCTGTGGTTCTTGGATAATGTTACAGCTGTGCTTGTTTTTTTCTCACTGTCCAATCTTCAGTCTACCCATTAAGCGTTAAGAGGTCCTAGTTCTATTAGAATGTTGTCTCTAGTGATCTTAAGCCAACATCATTTTCGACCTCTGCGGTGGTTGTAATAGAGCTAATCTTGTAGTGTGAGATTCCAAGACCTCATATTTTGACCTTTTTCATTTAGACTTACTCTATGTAATTCTCCCACAGAACAGTTGGTCTACTTGACTTGATATTTTACACAACACGGCACTGCAATGCTATTTTCCAGCAGATTCCCCTCAGATGTTGTCACGGCAGAGGTAAATCAAGGTCTGGCCTTGCGAGACTAATGGTGGCCTGAAACCTGCCTGGTCCCAGATGCCTGGCACTTGCCTCGCTAGTAAGATAAGAGTAGTGGCTTAATGTGATGAAATGAAGGTACATTTAGTGAAACTACTCCACTGATGTTATTTCTAATGTTTTTTCTAGTGTTATACATGTTCTTGATAGTCATTCCTTATTTGCTTTTGTTTATTCGAGCTGCTTTATTGTAGAACACAGCCGTGGTATAAAGACAAGACAGAGAAATCATAAACTTGATGTTTCCATTGACGCTTTGGCGGTCCATTGACCTGAACACCCAGAAGCTTTCAGATCTATCATATCTGACTTTAGTTGTGGTTGTTGGTCAGAGATCATGTTTGAGCACTTGGATATACAATATTGGCACATTTATAGTAAAATGTCCCTTTATACTTTTTCTCACCAGTCCAACTTAGAGAGAGATTAAGTAAGCAACTGAATTGAATTCAAAGATATCATGATTGACTAATTCCACTTCAAAACATCATTAAATTATATTTTTCTTGCTGAGGTGCTAACACACACACTGAATATTGACTTCGGGTTTACAAAGGCCAAAACCTGAAATGAAATGAAATGTTGGGCTGAAAACTGTAAAACAACAGTTCACGTTTCAAATACCAAACGGATCATGCATTTTAGCCATGCCTCATTTCGCTCAATTTTGCTCTCCTCCACCCCTGTCTTTGCATAGGCTGCAGCTGACCACGCCCCCCTGCAAAGAAGGGGGCCGAGTTACTAGCATCATGTTACCATGCTGTTACCATGCTGTTACCATGCCACGGCAACCTCTCATTCCCCTGATTGGTGGAGAGTTGGCCATATAGGCGGAGCTCCTCGTCACTGACGTCAGACTGTTTTCAAATCTATAGTCTGTATCAGATCCGTTAAAGCCCTGTTTTTAGAGATTTTGGGTATGGAGGAAAAGAGAGAGGGTTGTGTTTTCTGATACTTGGTGAGTTCCCTGACACACCGGGGACACATATTCATGTACAAAAGACGTACAAAGGTGCATTTTGCATGATAGGTCCAAAAGATCTCCGAACACTGCCTTGATCTGTTGTTGGTATACAGGCAAAGACAAGAGCCAAGACCGTCTATTGACTGTGTCGATTTGGTTTGGTGTGTACAAAATCAATACCAGCACGAACAAATCCGCTGTCATTTTGTGCCTCTAATTGGCCTACCATTAGCGTGATTATTCTTTATAAATGAGCTGTCTGGTTTTAGTAAAGGATATGTCAAGAAAAAATCAATCAAGCTAACATCACTTTCAATGAGGCTTCTCCATTCCTTTAAAAACACATCTTTCAAAAGGAAAAAAGGACATGTCATAGTTAAACTCAAAGCTGACTTGGTTTTCAGACAAAGTGTGGAGAAGTTCCTCTGCTGAGGTACTTTAGCAGGGGCTCTGCTTAAACGCTCAAAGGATGAGCTCCCTGTGGAATATGTATGTACAAAGTGGAGGTAAATAAATAATGAAAGAGATGAATGGGGGGCTATGCAGACAGCTGATGAGGCTGATCATAGGGAGGGGGGGGACTGTTCCCCTCTGAGGCTGTCAGCGGGGTGCGAGGGTTAGTGTTGATTAAAACTGCTTTCCTCTTACCTGTCAGCCACACACACACACACACACACACACACACACACACACACACACACACACACACACACACACACACACAGAGAGAGAGCTATATCTGCCAAGTGACTTAAACATAAACAGCTTAACAGACCCATTTGACTTGCTCTGCATTTCTCTCTTTTCTCTTTTAGTGCTAAAGTTAACAGCTTCTTCTAGGGATATAAAACGAATTCAGAATATTCTGAATTCGTATATATTCGAAATATATATATATACATATATCTATATTCTGAATTCGTTTTATATATATATATATA